CACAACTGAAAATATTTTATATTATTTTACAATTTCCCCACAGAATGGAAAAATGGAAAAAGTATTTTAAAAGTTGACAGTATATCTACCTCTTGATAACCAGCCTTAACCAGATTTGGGCCCTTAAGTCTGGTCACCATTGCAACACAAAAGCCCCCCCCACCCCCACCTCAGGGTGAGAATCTGGCCTCATACCCTGGGTCTTCATGAAGCGACCTATCAAGTCACAGGATAGGCTTTTCTACCAGCTGCACTTTCAGCCGACATTCTCCTCTCTACTTAGGCGTTAAGACAAGGCTATCATCAGGACCAGTGAAACAACATGGCAGAACATAAGGAAAGGATTCATGAGTATCAGACAACAGAGCAAACACAACCAGCTGTCTTTGTCAGGTTTGGAAAATCTATTTATAAAAAAAAAGAAAAAATCAAAGGAGAAAGGATGAGAAGGTTGGAGCGAAATAAGAAACATTTGTTCACATTAATAAACAATTTCTGCTGCAGCTTCTTTCTAGAGTAAACCAGGAATGATTTTTGTCATACAGTATCATCTCTTTAGGGATGTTTTGTGGTTTTTTTGTACGTAGCTGCATTAAAAATGCCAAGTGATGAGTCACTCTGAACTTAATCAAAACCAATTTACCCACAAATCCACCATCGTGACTCCTCTCTGACGGAAACAGATGAGATGATGAAGCACAAGGGAGAGCAGTTATGCATAAGATGCAAAACAGGCATCAGATAATCGACTTGCAAACAGATACACGCTCTGTAAATTCAATCTGTTCTGTACCACAATCAGGTAACAAGAAACTTAGAAGTTGTAGCGTCAGCGCAAGTTCGACATTTCCGCTTGTGCAATCAGAAAAACCTGGCTGCCTTGTGGACAAGCAGAGTACGTCACATAGAGAAACCTTGTTTATTGCAGTTTCAGACTTCTGAACAGATGGCTCATCTAACCTCCACAGTGAAGGAAAAAAATATGTTGATGCAAATCACTAGTGACTGAGTGCAACTGTGGGAACTTGTTGGTGATACATGCAGGTTTTCTGAGCTTTCAAGAAGACGAGTGCATGCACATTTCATACAGATTGTACTCAGAGGCTTTGGAGATGCTGTTTTAGCATGACCTCTGTTCACAGGCTGGACTAAGCTCTCTGGAGTCTCCTTTAAATAAAAATAATAAAAAAAACCTTGTTACAGGTCGACATTATGAGTCCTCTGAGAAGTGTGCCACACTTAGACACTGGTGGTTCTCCTTTGCCTGTGCCTGCAGGGTCATGTAGAAAGTGGATCAACACTCACCTCATCCTGTCCATGCGAATGAATTTGTAAAATATTGGGTATCTCATCATGGGGATATTTAAAATGCAGCTATTATCTATTTGCAACAAACACCTGTTGGCTCTAGAGAAGAAGCTGAAACATTAAATGCAGTTTGAAGGTGGATATTAGACAGTGACCTTCCTACAATGGAAATATAGACACATGCTAAGACAAGTATGTGTGCAGGAAAAAGATGTATAAACTGAACTGCCCCAAAGGAAGCAGTTAGAGAGAAGCGAGAGTCATGAAAAATTATTTTAATCGCTTCTCCGTTCCTGCTGAAACATAAAATATCCATTTGAAATTTGGTTCCATTTCTTTAAAGTAAACAAAAAGAGACTGGAGATTTATTTTCTGTGTTTCCCGTAGAGACAGCCAGTGCTAAAAATCTTCAATGTGAGCTTCAAGACACTTCCTGGTTATAGGAACAGTTGTTCCAGTGTCCGGCCCAGTCCAAAGTACATAAGCTCTGCCCTGAACCGCTTCCCCCACCTCAAGAGACAATCTGTAGGAAAGAAATCAAACAGGAGACAAGAAAGTACACAAAGTAATCTTCTCTCTACCTCGTCTCTATTTTCTCTGTTGATCCTGTGAACCAATGAAAGTAAACAAGAGGAAAAGCTCAAAGAATCGAGTCCGTTTCCTCCCTTCATCCAAACCTTCACCAAAAACCACAACCTGAAGCCTCCATCTGCTGTTACGGGCTCGAGTTCAGTGTGGAGAACCAACAAGAGAGCACTGGAGAGGAGCAACAACACCAACATCCAACATCCCATTCTTCCAAAACAAAAAAAAGCTCCTGTATCCCCCGTGAAGGTTTACAGGAGCAAGGAATAAAAATATTAATAAAAATGAAATAAAACAATTGCAAAGTAAAAATGTCAAAGAGTCCTATTTCACCAGAATTGAATAATGTAAAAGAACAAAAAAAAAAAAAAAAAGAATTCACTCAACATTTGCTTCTGGAACCATCAATGAAAAAACACTGAGGTATGTAGTCTGGGTGGGAAGCCTCTTCATCGCTTTTATCCTCAGCATCAAACACAGACAGATTCCTGTTTACTCCGGTAATGGTCTGCAAGCCCCTCCCCCCAGGGTGCGTGGCTCATGTTCTATATATATTTTTTTTTAGGGGTGGGGGGAGTTGGGGGAGAGGGGTGCATGACGGGCTGCACCTCTGAGGAGCAAAAAACAGCCATTTTTATCCATTGAGTTTGTCTTTCTCCTTCAAGTCCATCTTCTAACCCGTGTCTCAGAGTCTGTTGGTGTCTCTATTCAAGATCCAACTCTGCCTGGGGACTGTAGCGCCCCCTAGGATTGTAAATTGAGGGTGAACTTCCATTGCTGGTTGAGGCTGGGGCTGCAGACTTCCACGGTGAGTCCGCCCATCCTGGCGCTGCGGCTGTCCAGACAGAGGTTACTGCCCACGTGACGAAGCTTCGAGTTGGACTCGATCTGCTCCCATTTCTGGTGAGAATAAAATACAATTCACACAAAAGCAGGTCACAAATGTCCACCAGTTCTTATTTTGTCTGGGCTGCAGAAAAGAAAAGCTGCTCAGCGTCTGTACCTGTCTGCTGTCATTCTCTCGACAGCCTTGTAGTTTGATGAGGGAGCCGGCTGTTCTGTCCACCACAGTGAGACACAAGTCCATGTGTTTGACTGATTTGTCCTTGGTCAGGGCCCATTCCTTCACAAAATAGACACGTGAACAAATTAGCATCGACGCATCCACACCTGTGCACGGATATGGATGTTCTGATCCAGGCATTCTCCAATAATCCAAGTATGATCTGTCCTGATCTGTTGTTTTATTTCATAGTATAATACAACTCCGTAGTAGATGTTAAAGAGAGGTCAAGAAATCAATTTGTTGAGAGATGCTTGATGGTTGAGCCCCTTCACAAGAGGAGGACCACCCACTTAATTGATTGGTTAATAAGTTAATCTGTCTGTCTGGGTTTGTACCAAATCTGAAATGATTCTGTCACTTGATATTCTAATCAGGTCATCCTTGACTCCAAGTAAATGTTTGTGCCAGATGTAATGATATTGCCTGCATAGTGACCTTGACCATTGACAAACTAAATATAATCATCTTTGAGTCCAAGTGAATGTTTGTACCAAATTTGAAGAAATTCCGTCTCGACACCCTTGATATCGTGTTCACAAGAATATGACGGACAGATGGACAGCCTGAAAACTTAATGTCTCCAGTGGCCGATGCTGAGCCATGACCTTTGATAACATGCACACGCTGAGAATAAAAGTTAACACTGAACAAAGGTCTGGCCTTTCTGCAAATCGAGGTCCAAATCATAGACTGTGTATAAAAAAAGGTCAATATATCAAATACAATTGGAATGAGGACGTTTTCATCAGATTGATGAAGTAATGAAGTGAAACGTGAGACCCGACTGTTAACATGACCAAATAAAGATTGGTACATGTGTGCTACTCTGATTTAACAAACAATAGCAGCAATCCATCAAGATATTCCATCAGAACCGTATTGTTATTGACATGGTTTAAATGAAACAGGGCGTCTTCATTCATCTGAGCTGCAGTAAACTACAAAACTGCTAATGTGGAAGGAACTGAAAAGTGAAAGTAAACATGTGAGGTCGATGTCTGTGTTTCCCCCTCTACACCTGTCGTCCTATTTCAGGAAAAGAAAAACTTCACACCACAGTAACACAAGTATGCATGCACATTGCACACACACATGCACAGTGGCCACCCACCACATTCTAAATGCTCTGAGAAAAGCCCACTTTCTCTAAGAAAGTGTCGTACTTTATTTAGAAGTTTGCAGCTGAACTAAGACACATCTTTCATGTGTTACTGAAAATATTGACTTTTTTATTCATTTTAGGATTAGGTGGTTTTAAAGTTGGGTTAACTTTGTTCTCTACCTGACTGCTGTTTAAAGACACTTTTCTTTTTGAGTTACGAGAGAAAAATTCAAGCTCTGTGTAACATTTGACCGTAAATAGCCAAATCATCGGACATACCCCCTGAAGTCTCACCACAAGTGCCACCTCGTGCCACCCAGGTGTCTCTAGAGCAAGGATTAGACAAGCTGACCTGTGTGTGTGGTCGCAGTAACGCTACCTGGTTCCCCCCACCGTTGTGGCACTCATAGAGGCCCACCACCCCGTCAGCAAAATGTCCCAGGGTGTCCAGACAGTTTCCTCCCTGCTGCAAGGCTCCAAACGCTATGTCCTGGTGATCTGGGACCCTAAACACACACAAACCCACACAGTGTTGTTTGATTGTTTATCCACTGAATCATGCTCTTGTCAGCTCTATTTATATATATTAAGGCTCTATAGTGAGTAGCAGCAAATGGGAGGAGTGTGGTAATAGGAAAGTACAATGGGTGTTCCTCAGAGTAATTTATGTCTCAATATATAATGATACGTATTTATATAATTCCATGTACTTGTCCATATTACTTCAAATGCTTTCATTTTCTTACCGCAGTTCAGGGTAGACGTTCTCCAGGTACCATTTAAATGGCTTACAGCCTAATCTCTTCTTCATCTCCAAACGACTCTGGATGCTGAGGAAGAGACAGAGAGTGAATGAGAGGGTTGATCACTTGCGGTTTCCAGTGCCTCTCTGAAGTTCGACTGAATTATAGCCCTGCTCAGTGATTCCGTGAGGGCAGCGAGAGGAGGCCCAGGGTACATCTGAGGCTGCTGTTTGCAGGGAAAATAACTGATTTGACTTGCACCACAGGGAGATGACAATAGTGTTCCCACAAGGTCATACATCTCAGCATTTTTTATCTCCGTCTCACTACGCTGTCTGAATGTGAGAGTGCTCGTTGTTGTGTAGACTCTTCTGGATGTGTGAAGGGACACAAAGGAGCAGTGAGATGTTACACAGATTACGTGGAAAATAAGGACCAGAAAATACACCCACGAGCAAAAAGAGCAGTGCCAGCATGCTGATAAGTACGAGTTTTACCATGTTCAGCATCTAAATTTAGCCTGTTAGTGGGCTACATTAATTCAAAATAAAAGTACAGAGAAGGATGAGGAGAATTTCATGAATTTAAAATTGGACCTCATGATGTGTCAGCTACATTTCATGGCAATCTATCTAGTAGTTGTCAAGAAAAAAGGTCAACCTCATGTACCTCATGTATTTATCAGTGTATCTGGTAAATCGTAAAATAGTTCACCGGATAAGTGAACATTTTACCTGCTGGTGGCGCTAGACCATAGACAGTATGTAAAGATGAACAATGTATGTCCATGTCCTCCCACTATCTAAAAATGAAGCCAAAATATCTTGGATAATAACATAGACATGCTGCACATTTGGAGCTAGGAGTTGTGATGGATCCGAGGTCACTCCGATACACGCACTCGACCAAACACGGGTCAGTCTCAGCTGTAAATCATGTTTCACCCCAGCCACCAGGCAGCAATCAAGATGCTTTGGCTTTTCTTCTGGGGAGCAGTCACATCATCTATTTTTCTATACGGCCTATGGGCTAGACCATAGAAGTCAAAGGATGACAAAAGACAATAATGACAATCCATCCAATAGTCTAATAAGATCTCACATCACCAGGATGGTTAAAAAGTCTAAAACAGGGCAATGTAATTCACTTAATCCTTCATCTTCATGGAGCTTTGCCATCTGATCCTTGCTCCTTTTTAGTGGAGCCGCTCGTATCCATCATGTCCTCTCACTTTGCCCTGTCCTGCAGTAATGTCACACTAATCCCCTCAGCACATCAAATAATATGGCAGTCTTTTGATCAATGCAAATCAGGCAGCGACCTCTTGCAGTCTTTTCAGCCACATTAACTGCCTCACGTCACTTCCATAAAGGGGGTTACTGATTTTTTTTTTATAGCGGACATACGGCAAATTGGCAAGCAAATTAATGTGTGTCTGCCTGACCTTGATTTTCTGATTTAGCTCCTTTTAAGTTTTACACTTAAGGGTACTTACTTTCCGTAGGGGACGTTTCTCGCTGATGGGACAGCAGCATAGTAGAAGTTTTTATACTGGTCCATCCACACTTCTGCTGCTCTCCTTGTGTTCCTGACAGAGGGGGGAGAAAAGGAAAACAAAATCAGTGAGGGACAAGGAGATGATGGAGAGATCTGATAGAAGACAGGCGAAAGTGAAAATAAAGGAAAAAAAGAGAGAATAAATGAGTAAAAGTAATGATGGAGAGAGATATTAAATAGTGTGTGTTTTGGAAACAGAGAGAGACTTAGAGAGGCTCTGACAAACATGAACGGAGACAGATTAAGAACGGAGTTATGTGGCAGACTGTACCAAAGCTGAATGGGAGCGATGCCCAGACTGTTTTTATGTTTGTAAAATCCTGCTCAGTTTGTCATACAAATAATACAAACGTCTTGTGTTAGTAACTAACAGCATTAATGCATCGTGTCGCAGCTTTTCTTCTTCTTTGTCTTAAATCTATTAGGGGATAGCCATGCTCTACATTTTGGAACTGCAACTCCTATAATGATTTGGGAGATATTCACGGAAAGTATGATATTACCATGGTGTCAGTGGCAACAACTTAAGCCCAATTGCTGTTGGTTTTGTTTGTCTGTTTCTCAGCATTACCCAATGACTCAGATTTCCACGAAAATGGGTGGAAGGATGGAACATGGGCCAAGAATGGACATATTAAACTTTTGGGTGGATCCGGACAAAGGGTCAGATTCAGGAACTTTTATTCACTTTCTTTAACTTTGTGAGATAGGGTGCTTTTGGATATTTTCACCAATTGCTCAAGGGATAATAAATGGATGTTGATGAAAAAAAGTCATGCATGTTTAGGGAGTAGTATTTAGTGAGTGGGTGCAATTTGGTGCAATAAAAATCCAGATTCAGTGAGTACTGGGCTGACATCCCAACATCACCCCACCGAAGACCACTGAACACTGAAGAGCTGCTAAAGATCATGAATTTAAAAGAGTAAATTGATCCAGTTCATTGATCCATGTTCGAGTCAAACCACTACTGCAATGACCGCTAAATGGGACTTCCTAAAAAGACCATCAGGCACTTACAACTCATTAAAAACACAGCCACAAGAGTTCTGTCAGAAACCAAAATGACTGCCCACATCATTCTTAAATCTCATTATTTAAGTTGTGTTGCTTATTTTCCAATCTTTTAATCGAGCTCGCCACAAATAAATAACAGACATGTAAGTTCAATACAAGCCTATGAGATCACTGAGGAGTGGTCTGCTAGCGGTACCCAGGGCAAAGTCTGAACCAGCCTAATCAAGGAGACGTTCATGCACATGTTTGGAATTGTGCTTTTTGATTTTCAATTGATTTCTTTTCAGTTTGTTCCTGCATTGTTATTAATGACTCTACCTCTGCGTATGAAATGAGCTTGAAATAAAACTGCCTGGCCTTAAATTATTATATCATAAAATATTTCCAATATGCAACCACTCTGCCTGACGTACAAAACCATTTCGTCCTGATCCACTTTATATGGAGTCTAGAGCTGTTATTCTTCACATTGATTGTAAGTTGTGCCATAAAAGTTTGATATTTGGGAAATGCTGTTCTCAGAAAAACAATTATAATGGCATCCAAGCAGACAAAGCATGTGCTGTGTTGTAGCTCCCCTGTGAGCAGCCACATGGGACACACTCTGGAGTTATATTCGACGTAAAGAGCACGATGTTGGACTGAACAGCCTGAAACCAGAGATGATGCTGTGCTGCATTCTGAACATTCATTGTTGAGGCTGATGCACGAGGACACCACTGCACGTGTCAATTAATAAATCATATCCTGAACTGTTGTTATATTTCTGTGACTGTGTTCACTTTCGGACACCAACTTAAGAGAGTGACGAGCAAAGACGTTCAGTATCTCTTATGTCCTTGATTTAGATTTTTCCTCTGTGCTGTGTAAATGATTGTGAAGACCAAAGAAACCACAGCCAATATGAACTCCCACTTATCTGTTTGTTGATCCGCCCATACTTTCTTAATCAGGACCATGTGGCTTTGTCGGGCTTGTTTCTAGGGGTGGTTACTTGTAAATGGTCCACGTTTCAAAGCAGAGATCCATTATCTTTCCATGTATGATGCTTCCATTAACCGATGCTCAGTGATTATGCTGTCACATTCATCAGAGCTCTAAATCACAGCATGTGCAAAAAACAGATCTGTATTTAACAAGAGCGCTCATTCCTAATCTGGAGCCAATTGTCCCTGTGATTACTCGGCTTTTAATTAGTGTTGTTTGGTTTTAATTATCTAACATGGGTTTGATTCTCAGACCTGCAGTAAACCTAAAACTTTACACCACAGCACCCAATGCAAATAACTTGAGCCTGAAATAATTTGAGTATGGAGAGATGTCCACAGAGAGGACTGGGTGGTTCAATTATACACTGACTGTTTGTTGTGATTGAGATTAAATGCCCTCTGAGCTAAGTGAAAAGAAAACCATTCTTTCTTTTAGTAGCTGCTCTGAGGCTTTCCATCATGCTACGTTTTCTCAGTTGTCATGGTTTTACAGATGTTCAGATTTACATTTTTCTGAGCACCTGAAAAAGTCTTGTCCACGTCCAGTTAAAAGTTGAGCCTGAAAGTTGATTCTTGACCTTCGAAACAGCAGCTGACAAAACAATCTCACAACAAGAACCAAATCACATGGTCTTTAATTGCATGACAACTGAGCCGTGGACAATTAGCCCCAGGGTGAGATCGCTTTCTGAGCTGCTGACATACAAGATCAAGCGTGAACTGTGATCTTCAGAATAAATGTCCTCTTAAAATGCTATAAAGTCACAGTCTGCTGAATTGATCTGAGGGTAATAGCAGAGAATGACAAGTTTACCACAGTCTACTTACTACAGCCCCATCAGACTGGAATATTTTACAAAAGGGTTTAAAACTACGTGATTGGAATTCATTGAATGATTTTAAATACATATTAAAAGACCAGGAAATGGAGACGCTGGGATTTCCCTGTTTTTGACCAATGTTTGGTTTGTTTTGTAACTTATTTCTTGTTTTTATATTCTAACTTTGATTGTCTTGTTTTGCTGAACTTTTACTTTGCCTTGTTGCCCCTCTCGACCAGGACTCCCTTTAAAAATAGCTTTTTATACTCAACGTTGGGTTTTCCTGGTTAAATATAACTTAATAACTTCAAAAGAACGGTATGGGATTTTTTGGGTGAACTGAGCATTTATTCATTTTGGTATTTTGGCTCCCAATCAGTTTTTGCATTGTTTATTTTTAACACTGATGCTATGTCTGTGAAACGCTCGCATCGGTCAACAGCTTGAGTAGGAATGTGATATGTGTGGATGGGAAATGTTAATAAGCAAATGATGGGTGAAGTCTCAGACGTTTATGGGGATTCTACAGCCTTGGCATATTTGTGTAGGAGGAGTGTCACCTTGCAAACACTGTCCCGCTGCCCCCTGGGAAAGTGTACGGATGTTGCTTTCTGAAGACGTGGCCGACTCGACTGCAGGGGATGATCTCCAGACTGCCACCGCACTGCCACACACGAAATGAGATCTCTGAAACACACAGAGACACACAAATACACAAGTCAGAAACACTTTCCTTTCACAAACTCATTCAAACAAACTGTTTCCATAGAATTATCAGAGTTAATTATAATAAGAGGTATGAAAACAGCTTTGTCTGCACCTCCCTTCAGTGCACTGATAAGGTAAGTTCCCTCTAGAACATTGTCTGCATTTGTTTAAGTGTTGACTAAATGAACACAGAAGTGAAACCAGGATCTGTGTCCTGGTTAATTTTGCTAGAGCTGCCAAAGAAGCATGAATCATCCTGTCAGCTGTTTATTCTTAACAATATCCCAACTGCATTCAGACTGAGGCAGCAGGGACACGCAGCTGTTATTATATCATTGTACTGTTTGCAAATAAGCTCCATTGTGTACACAATGGTAATTTTCACTCAACGCCAACTCCAGTGATTATCACATTAACACTGTCACTCACCGAGGCAAACTGAACTCTGGAAGATGATTTTACTCACAGCTGACCTCCACATTCCTGAGAAATTTATATCATATTCTTGGCATGGACACCCAGATGATCTAATGTGATGATCACAGCAGAAGACTCGTCCCTGGTGCTACTATATCAAATCCTATGTAAGAACAGGAATCTGTGGTTTTCAAGCCAAAATAAGAAAAGCACTTGTGATGGAAATAAGTTTCAGTTATGTGCCTGTATAAGACCTAAAGAAACTATTTGACATTTCAAAAAATATCAAACTGAGCTTTAAAAGCTTCTGGAAAATCTGCTCACGTCTGTCACCTTTAGAAGCTGAAGGCCAGGGGATAACAGCAGCCGAGCGTATTGATGGTGAAAGCTGACGAGAGTTAGACTTTATTCTTTCTGCTCGCTATTTGATTTTTTTTAACCTTCAATCACCAACAATTTCTACTCCTTAGACGTCCATTACTGTGTCAAAATGTCTTCTGCTCTCCTGTGACTCACCAAGGTTTTCTCCTCCCCACACATCCATCATCATGTCGTACTTTCCAAGCAGCTCAAAGTTTTCCTTATCCATGACAAATAGACCTCCTGCTATCATCGGAGTCCTGCAGGGGCAGAGGGAGAAAGAGGGGGATTAGCTGATGATGGCAACTGTGAAATCTGTGCGTGCGTGCGTGTGTTTGTTTGTCTTACTTTATGGGTGCGATGGGGTTGCCTTGTCTGGCTCGTCTCTGCTCCAGAGTCATGTAGTCCCATTTAAACACCAAATTCCAGTCAAAACCTTTGCACACACACACACACACACATTAAGATTAAGTAACAATGTGGTTATATTAGATTTGGCAGCTTCAGTTGGTTGACTGGACACATGCCTGATTTCACATGTCTGTATGTGTTCATGTCTCACCAGAGAGAGTTCAACCCCGAAAAGTATGTGGAAGCATCCCAGTTACACTCTTTATACTTCTATAATAGTACAAGATATTTATTCCTATAAGATTTTTAATGCCAGTATGCATAGTCAGTATATGGATTAGGAATAGTAAAGGTGAAAAAAATATACATACACATATACTGTACATATGTAGAATGATGGAGGCGAAATTAGAATGAAACTCCAGATATTAGTGTATACAGTTTTGGCAGAGTGTATCATTAATATGTTCTCTTTTTTAATTTTTTTCATACGACCATGAAATTGTACTTGATGTTTCAACAAATGTCTGATTTAAAATCTAATTTCAAACTGCTGCCATTTATAATTTGGAAACCTTAACCTGCATTTCTGGATGTTTTTGGCCACATGGGGGCAGAGGAAACCAGCTGTGAACACAACACTGGTATATGATCACTTTTTAAGTTGATGTGGTGAACTTTTTTAAGTGAGAGTTTGCATATTTACACATTTAACATTCTGCGTTACAGTTGTTTTAGAGCTTTTTACTTGGAACCAGCTTCCCTGACTCATTTTAGAATTACATGTAGTCAGGTGTTCCACTGTTAAGGAAGTAAAATCAGTAAGTCAAATAATACTTAGATTAAATACCTCTGAAGTTCATGCATTTGCATTGTGGCACTAAAAACTAGTTAGAAGCGGTAAGCAGTGTGAAACACAGTATGTTTGTAGTAGGCTATTAAATAAATATGCTGCGTTTAGACTTAGCAGAAATGACTGTGTTGTGCATGAGACACATAACAGCAGCCTCAAGTGAAAACAGTTTATCAAATAGAACAATAGATTCCAAAACAGCAGTTATCAGTGCTGCTATTGTATGTGTGTGTGTGTGTGTGCGTGTGTGCATGTGCATGTATTAATACTTGGATACTTTACCTCCTTTCAGATCGGCCGAGGCTCCTACATACTGGAAGTTGTCCATGTTGATGACGTCAATAATTGGAGAAACTACTCTCGTCTTATCCTGAGAAGTAAGAAAATACTAGAATGAATGCCCTGCAGGTGTATGCCTCGGTCAACCAGTACAGTTTCAGTCTATATAAATTTTTTTCCCAGATTGTTAAGAGGTCACCATGACCTTTGGACACTGAAATCTCATCAGTTCATCTCTGAGTCCAAGTAACAACTGGTCAAAAGTGGAAGACATTGCCTAAAAGCAGACTCATGTTCAAGAGGCCAGAAATATGTTTTACCCTCGACCATTGAGCACCAAAATGTAATCAGTTAATCTGTGAGTATAAGTGAGCATTTGTACCAAATTTTTAAGGATTCTCCCAAGGTGTTCTTAAGATAACGCATTCATAAGGCAAAAAAGGGTTTTATGAGGTCACAGTGACGTTCACCTTTGACCTTCAACCACTTCGATATCTTGTTCACAAGAATAGGACTGAAAGATGGACAGAAAACATAATGCCTCCAGGCACTGGCTGTTGCTGTTGCTGTACATAAAAACCTGATTAAAACTTTTACGACTTTAAAGAAACTCTAACAGAGAGACAGAAGACATCCAGCTCATTAATAAATATTTACTACGAGTCTTGTTTTGTAGAATTATAGAGCAGAAGTAAATATTTCCCTCAACGTCAGTGATGCATATGTTTAGTCTGTGTTCTATATTTAGTTTATCACTGTTTATAAAGCAGATGTGAAAGTAAAGCAGCCCTGTCGTCTTACATCAAATCAAATCCTCGAAAGCTGCATCACACACTGGTTGAGAGAGGATCGCTCAAGTGGTCTGAGTGACGAAAACAAGACCTCACATACTAACTGATCTGTTTATTTTGGGCTGAAACCTTTTGACTTGACAAACAAACACATTTCGTGTTTCTTTCGTTTTTGTTATTAGAACTACAGCAAACAAAAGGCTTCAATTAATCTGACAGCAAAGTGTTTTAGATTTCAGGCATTGATTCATTTGCAATAATAACAAAATGCCACACTTAGATGGATCAAAAACAGAATCATAGTTTTTTTCAGTCATATCACATAAATATTAAAAGAAGAATCCTCATTTTACTCATGGTGCCGCACTTCAGATTAAGATCACATTCAATCAAGAAGCTCCTTCTCAAGTCATGACTTCAAGGCTTCACTCTAAATGTCACCAGACGGTTCATCTTTAATGGAGCTCAGTTTACGTTTACTCTGTTTCAGGAGTGTGCTTTTACAGCTTGCTGTGGTTTGGAAAGACGGAAACATGACGCGCTCAGAGGAATGTCCTTTTAAAAATGAAGAAACATGTTGTCTTAGATTAAAAAAAACTGTTCTGACTGATAAAATAAAATCCCCACCAAACAGAGTCATTACTCTTGGTATGAGAAAGACTTTTTTCCAAACAGTTCAAGTCAGAAAACAAAACGTGAAAATTTGTTTTTATTCTGAAAGTGTCCAAACATTCCTGTATTACTGAAGCGATGTCACACACTCTTTGTTTTTCACGTGAATGTTAATGAGACACTGACTGAATGGTTTCCTCACTGACCTCTGACCTCTATGTTAAAGAGGGAAGGAAAAACATAATTCCTCGACAGATATAAATAAGTGTTGTTTTACTGGCTTTTCTGGGACATTTTTTGTGGCTGGTGTTGACATGGTAACAGGACATCATGTCACGTCCACCTAAAGCAGTCAGATGGGTTACAGGGCCATTTTTTTCCCAAAGTGTGTACGTTGGCTGAGGGATTGGACCATACAACTAAAGCTGTATTGGATAGAAGTCATCAATAGTAATCAGCCAGTCTCAGACATGAACTCAGAAAATGTCACAACTGCGTTCAGTCATTTTCCAGACTCTGTTTTCACATGTGAAAAACCCAGCAGAGGATTGTGTCAATCAGAAGCACTGACTACATGAAATGCTGCAGATATCATGTTTTTGTTTACAGCACATCGACATCAGTGGTGGGTTTTATTATCAAAAGCTCTTGTCTTTCCAAGACTACCTTTTTGTGTGTGTGGCTCCTTTTTTTAATTATTAATTATTATTAATTTTGTGTTATATATTCTTTTAGTTTTTTAGTTTCACGTCCATCGTGTGTTAGGAGCCTCATCAACCTGCTCACCTGAGTGCTGTGAATTCCTGCTATACTCTCACGTGAGCTCACGCCAATGTTTTTTACTTGGGAGCTGGCAGGAGAATATCCAGAGAATATCCACAGCAACTGACTTCGACATTTGCGCTCTCACATTCTGCCCCATCATATAATTTCAGGAGAATGTCAAGAGTGTAATGCAAGTGTGTGTGTGTTTGTGTGTGTGTGTGTGTGTGTGTGTGTACCTCAGCCACTCTCTCCAGTAGCGGCTCCAGCCAGTGGTCATTACATTCACAGTGAGAATCCAAGAAGGTGAGCACTGGCGCTGTGGCAGCGTCTGCACCACGAACCCTCGAGCGCATCAGTCCTGAGAGAAACATCAGTCACAAGAATCTTGATTACAAACAATCACACGTCAAGAAACAGCACTGGGAACTTTTATGTGATAAAAATATAAAACTTTCTTCATCTCCTTTTCTAATCACCTTCTCTGCGGTCGTTCCTCAACACTCGCACTTTCTCAATCTTCCCCAGCAACGCTCCGTCCTCCGCTGAAATACACAGGGAGCAAACAAATGAGATTCACTTTGCATTTGCACTTACACACAGATATCAATAAGTCTGAGTGTTTTTGTTTGATGTGTTTCCGTGCAATACTTACGATTGTCGCTGTAGTCGTCCACCAGAATGATCTCTTTGACCAAGTGAGGAGGACTTTTCTTCAAGACACTAAAGCGAGACAAGGAGGGAATTTATAGGAAGAAATATTTAAAGAAGATAGAATCTCAGCCAAGACATACAAATAGATAAGTTTTTTTTTTGAGTGGATAGCACACACACCATTCACCTACCTGACCACAGTCCGCAGCAGAGCAGAGCGAGCCTCATTGTGGAAGGTGATGACCACACTGGAGGCTGGTAGGTCTGACATCCATTGTTTATGTCTGCACCTGCACGCACACAGAAATCAATCGAACAAGGAACAAAGACACACAAAAATGTTGAATGACAAAATAAAAACATTCCTCACACACAGGTGCACAGCTCAATGAATAGGCAAGCTGAAATCACTCCCTAAACAGGTCCTAAAGACAGGAATGCACAAAGAGGAATTCAGGACACACTGAGGCATGCACACGCACGCACAGAAACACACACAGGTTTACGCAGATGTCCTTGTTCTAGGACTTTGCATTGACTTCCATTCATTGTGTCAGCCTAACCTGAATCATGACTAATTCATGACTAACCCTAACCTTAACCTGACCACAATTTACATCTTATTCCCTACTTTAACTAGGAACCCTCATTAGGACCAGGCTCTGGACCCTATGTGGACTACTGGTCTTGACAAGGTCAGTGTTTATTTTGGAAAAGGTCCTAAAGAAGTACCAAAGTACACACACACACACACACACACACACACTTGTTGTACATCTATCTTAGTGAGGACACTCATTGGCAATAATGCCTTCCCAAGCCCTTAACCCTAAATCATCAAAGCTAGATGCCTCACCCTAATCCTTACCCTAACCTAATAGAAATTCCTACCCGGACAATAAAACCCAGTCTTAACCCTCAAACAGCTCATTAAAAGTGGGTCAGAAAGTGATGACTGGCCAAATTATCCTCACTTTCCCAAAATGTCCTCAGTCTGTAGCTCTAGGCTCAAAAGGGTCCTCACAAAGTACACACACACGCGACTGATAGTGGTTTTGCTGAGTGCAGGGCAAAAATCCAAAGATACTGTGTCTATACTTTATATATATTGGATTGTCAGCCTGGCAATAGTCAGTCTGTAAGCTCTTTTGATCTTTTGTTGAAATCACTCACCCTGCTCCGCCTTTTTTTCTAGAAAAACCTTCACAATCGCTGCTGCTGTGCAAATGACACATCACTCGCAGATCAATGGGAGACGCATCCCTGCTCTTTTAGTGGGCTAATGGCTAAATCTGTCTGAGTTAGGTCAATACATTAGAGAGGCCAGACCACTGCCTTTATAAAAAATCTTTGAATCACACAGTATGTATGTAGACCTAAAATCTAGACAGATACAAGAGGAGTCAAACCACTGGCTATAAACAAACTGTTGTAGGACGACAGTGAGGGCAGCAGCTTCACTTCTTTTTGTCTCCAGCTGATTTACAGCTGAACTTAAAAGTCACTATGTTTAGTTAAATAGACAGTGTCAATGTTCAGAGAACTGAAGACATAGCACAAACTTTTCAGCATTCAATTGTGAGGCATTTAATTATTATGGAATATTTAAAGAAATAGATAATAATGAGAATGACACGCTACAATAATCAAGATCAGAATGACTGGTTTTCCGTAATGACCTTGTTCTGCAGAGCAGGGTGAGGCACAGCCAGACAACAAACACTTGTCTAAAATTCAAACCTGTTCCTTTTATTTAACACATGAAAATAAGATCCCTCTTTGAGAACTGGTTCGTTCAGTGGGTGCACCACATGAGCCCGTCACTGTATCACAGGAATGACACACACACTCAGACTGTCGTTCAAACCCTGACTCACACATCAAATGACATTCACACTCCATTGCTCGAAATAAACAAGACAAGACTCAAATAAGGAAAACACTCAATAAATCCTACAGAAATCATACAGTTGAAATATTTACATGAACATATAAAAAATAAAAAGTCTTGTCTGCCCATTGTTAAGCTGTTGGTCTTAATATCAAAATATTTGCTCAGAGTGTGGTAGGTATTTCTTATTTATTACCTCTGAATAGGAGGTTATGTTTTCATCTGCGTCGGTTAGCAGGATTACACAAAAGTTACTCAACCGATTTTCATGAACTTTTGTGGAGGAACACAGGAAAATTCTATTTCACTTTCTTTAACATGGTTTTAGCATTGATTTGCATACTCTGATCGTCTTCTATCTACTAATTTCATGCAATTTGTTCATGCAATACATTAAATAATAATAAACTGAATTAACAGGTGACCAGTGCTCTGTAGCAGTGGCTGCAGGGTTCTGTGGACTGAGTCCTGCAGTTGGTCTTTACTTGCAACGGTTCAATTGCTACAGGTTATTTTTACAGTTTTTCGTAAGTAAACTGCAACCAGGCCAAACAAACAGCCCATTCAATACATACAGGTTTAGAACAGTTCCTCCTAGTAAAAGAAAATGCTGGAAGCTGACAGGATATTTGGAAACATTTGACCTTAAATTTAACGAGGAATGAGACTAAAGCAAGGATTGAAATAGGCAGATTTGTATTTCTTTGTGCTAAACCAGTATGCAGCTTAATTATTCAGGAGGCAACAAGATAATTTGGCACAAGTCGAGAATCGGGCTTAATAAAACATAATGACATGATGCTGTTTCAGGATTATGTGTGTGTGTTTGTGTGTGTGTATGTGTGTGTGTGTATGTGTGTCTGCTGCTGCTTCCTGGTTCCATTTGATAGAGCACAGTACAGGGAGTTTCCAGTCTGGTGCCATTAGAGACAGTAAAGGACAGCATGTGCACACTAAAGACCTGCACTCGCACATGCAACAATAAAAGGCTTATAGGGGCAGTGTTGTAGTTTCCCAGTGTGTCTCATGTATGTGTATCAAAGCAGGTACTCTGGGCAACGGCAGATACGTACTGGTCGTTTCTTGTATCGGGCACTGCTCTGTCCATGCGGAGTTTGTCACTCTCCACCTGGTTGAACTTGTTCCTGGCGTATGGATCCTGACCTGATCGGACCACTGTGGCACCAACGTATAGGTCCTGGTCAAAATCCTGCCAGCGCACTTTGCCTAGACACACACACACACACACATATATATATGAAGCAATCAATCAAACCACATCCACCCAGAAGCTGGAAGAATGCACTTGCTTTGCTGTTGTCTTGTTTGTGGTCAGAAAATTACATGTTGGAATAAGGGGGAGGGAAAAGATAGAAAAGCATTCAATTGCAGATATTCAAAAACTTTGAATAAAGTCCAGTGCACATGAGCAGAACAGAAAAGCAAACAGGACACTGTTAGATGATAAGCTGGTGAGATGATGAGAATCGCATTAATCTACCATGTTGATTACCCGTAAGTGAAGGTTACTTATTACCTATGGAAGTTAAGTTTTATTATCTGTATTTTGTTAGCATGTCTGTTAGTTAGCAGGACTATTTGGTGGAAGGTGAGGTACGGGTCAGGGAAGAACCCATTACATTTTGAAGGGGATCCAGATCAAGGGGTGGATCCAAGATTTTTTTCACTTTCCTAAAAAATGTGGAAAGGGCGTATTACAAGTTTTTTTTGATGATTTGATGAGATAAAAGAGAGTAATTCATGGATCTTGATGACTCCAAAATAAAAATCCAGATCTAGTGAATTTAAATGTGGTTTCACAAGTGGCCACGGTGGAGGTTTGCAGTGTGTGCCATTCTAGTTTATAAATGTTTTAAGGCCATTTTGTTATATATAGATTATGACTGAAAATGACTTTCCTTTATCTTCTTTATGTGTTCGCTTTCACATAAACACTAAATCCATTTTTTTTAAGGAATATATTCTCAATGCAACTCTGGTGAAATGTTAAACAAACACACAATATCCCAAAATAAAAGATGCTGTTTAAACCTTTACAAAAGGTGGAAAATGTGTCTCAGGAATGAATGGGATTACACATCAATGGGAATATGAAACGTAGGCAGCAGCTTGGATGATGCAAGGATCCCTCACGACCGGCAGGAAGGAAACCTCGCTGCTTGACAAGGTGGCCACATGGCACTGAGGAAAAGCTGACATGAAATGCATGCTGCTCATATGCAGAAAATATGCAGATAAGAATGTAGGAGACGAGGCGAGGCTGTTTGAGCAAAGCTACAAAAACACAAAAGAACATTTACTATGCACTGTGGTGAGTTAGGGAGAAAAAACCCCTCCTACATTTGAGTATTTACTTATTTGCTGCAGCCTAAAAAGTGAGTTTAGAAGGAAAGAAAGGCGGAGCATGTCGCGTCTGTCTGAGCAGATTACCGAGATCATTGCCCACTAAACAGAGAAAGTTGTCATGTTTAATTTCACAGTTTGTCATTGGCTACTGAGACACGGGCACACACGAATAATAATAATACAACTAATTAGCCCGGTGCAGCTGCTATGCTAATGTCTTGTGTTAAGCATATGGTTGTGTGAGATTACACTACCATTATATGGATGAGTGTGTAAGAGAGAGAGACAGAAACAGAGCCTTACGAGGAGAAAAG